GCTCTATTCCCCGTGTACCAGCCAGTGCATCCACAGCTCCCAGCAGGCGCTCGGCCCTGCTGCACACAAGTCCCATGGGGCAGCGGCCCCCAGCCCCCCCTGTATCTCCCTTCCCTCCTATGCTGTTTGCATCAAGCCCTTCCTGATGAATTTTTGGCTTTTCCACCTCTTTTCAGATGGTCTTTCACCCTGGGGCTGGCGCTACTTTAATTACCTTTGAAGTGTAGGAGCATCACGGCCCCCTTTGATGGTCGTGTTAATGCCCGCGGAAGTTAACCGAACGAAGAACCTTAACGCAGAGGGAAGTTCCTTTCAGCAACGTGCAGGGAGACTCTTGCTCGTGGCAAGCAAAGGTTCTTGGGGCTTAGCAAACCTTTCCCAAGTGCTCGCTGCTCCGGCCAAAGTTCCGAGTTCTTCAGCACAAGCATTTCTTTTTGCTCAATAAAAAACTTTGCAGCAGGATTTAGTTCTGTGGGAACAAAAAATATTTTCTCTGTCAAGGTCTTCAGCAGCTCCAACCTAAACAACACCGCCATCCACTCCCGCCAGGACACTGGCCAGATCCCAAACTGCGCCTCCAGAGCAGCCCTCTGGAAAGGGGGGAACGTGACCTCCCTCTCTCCAGGAAGGTTGTAAAACAGGACTCGTGGTTTTACAGGGTGCTTTGGGCTTCTTTAGAGAATTCCCTGGGCTCGTCCAAGGGTGTGGGGGGTTGGATGCCTCCAAGCTGCTGCTGAAATACTTTGAAGAGCTTTAACATCCCACGGACAAGGAGTTCCCTGTCTGCCTTGAGCAAAACCCTCTCCCCTTTTACAGGATCTCACCCGGGAACAGGGATCCCGATCCCTGATCTCACAGTGCAGCACTGGGAGTGCTGGGTTATCAAGCCAGTGGTGAGGAACCAGTGTCCTATGGGCAGGATCTCGTCACCCAGATGAAGGCATCTCTCGCACAGGCAAGGAAAAGCCACAACGCTCGTTCTGGCAGTCACTGCTCAGTCATCTCTCAGTGGCCTTCCAGCTGCCCACTCCCTGCTCTGCTCTTCCCACATCCCCAGCATCAGCTCACTGCGACGCTCGCTCTGGGACACAAACTGGGTCTTCCCCACCAACACCAACACCTCACTGATGCAAAGGCCAGTGTTGGTGTCCCCAAGTCACCCTGTGCAAACTCTCTCCCTGCCCTCTCCACCTTTTCCTGCAGCCACGGGACGCTCCTGTGCCTGTTGCCATCACACCCTTGAGGTCGGGAGAGCAGCGCCCATCTCTGCCAGCTCAGGATCTGCTCCCACAATGGCATTTTAGACACAAGAGGAACTGGTGTAATTTGGGTTTCCTGCGTAAACACGAACCTCTGATTGCCGTTAAGGAAATTAAATGAACAACCTCTCTGGGAAGCAGGACTGTCCCCTGCTGAAGTGGACATGGCCACCAGCCCCGCAACGCCGGCATGCCGGCGCTTGGCAGCCCATCCGCAGGGGAACGCTCTCCTTTGGCTTCATGGCTCAGCCCCATCCTCAGACTTGATCTCGTGCCCAGTTCGGGAGCACAGACGTTTTCACAGGAAGGCATTCCATCACAGAGTTCAGCTCCCCGTTACCTCTGCTCCAAGCGACGGGACGCTGTGCTGCGCATGCAGGACACGCCATCGTGGTGGGGAATTCCCAGTGCGCAAGGCTGCAATGTCTGCCAGCTCCGCACGCTACGAAATTCCAGACTCGACTCCCTGTAACCAACGAAATCCCAGTGTTCACCACAGATCAGCGAGGACCTGGCCAGCCGGGACTGCTCCGCGAAGGGACAGCCCCAGCTGGGAGCTCTGTTTTACAGGAGGAGAAAAAGCTGCCGCTCCTACCTGGCTGTGCTCTGGTGCTGGGAAAGGGATACACTGGGAACAGCGATGTCCGCAGGGAATTCTGCAGAAGACACAGGAAATCCCTGTCGACGAACCAAGCAGCTTTGGATGGTCACCCCGCGCAGAGCTGCCGTAGCGAGAGCTGTGAGCCTGCCAAAACCCGAACGCACGACACCGAATACAAGGGAGGAACACGCCAGAACTGAGAGGGCTGGAAGTAACACGCAGCACTTGAACACTCCGAAGTGCCGAGCATCCTGCCCTTTTCTTCTCAAAATGACGGACTGAGCTTTGCAGTGACAATAGCCGCGTTTTCTCGTATGCAGGACACGGGGTGCCACGCTCTCCGTGCCACCGTCACCTTCGAACGAGCTAGCAGAGCACTAACCAGTCAGCGGCTGGTTAGCTAGGAAGGAGCAGCCTTGGGAGACAGCAGATCTTTCATGCAATACAGGGCACCGGAAAAACTATCACATAAGCAAGATGACATTTCCATTCCATAAATCATTTCTGAGTCTCCGAAGAACACAGCCGAGAGCAGCACCACCAGGAAGTCTGCTCAGAGCCGGAGCCACCCCTCACCTGCACTCGGCCGGCCAGCGAGCAGAGACAGCAGCTTTAACAAAGGATTCCTCGACAAGGTCAGAATCCCACATCCCTTCTAACGCCGCTCAGTATCGCGCTGCAGGGAAACTGTAGTTTTGGGGAAACTGTAGTTTACGCATCTTGACCGAGTGACCAAGTTACCATGCGTTGGCCGAGGTCTGCTGTAGGTGTCCACCTGGAATGGATTTTGATAAGAAGGTTAAGCGAAGCAGCCAGCGAAGGGTTTTCCGTACCTGGTACGACACACACCCAAGAGCGGACAGCAAGCGTGCCGGCAGAAATCCGTTACGGTAGCAGCCGGCAATTCCAAAGATGGAGCATCCAACGCCGGAGATGGGTTAAATTACTCCTCCTGGCTGAAGACACTCGCGATCTGCTTCCACCTGCTTCTGCGGAGTCAGAGCACGCTTCGCTAACCCCTTTCAGAGGCAGAACTGGCCACCCGAGGCCACAGGGTGTCAGACACCCCAGGGACTGCTGCGAGAAGTGCTCGTCGTAGAGCCGACCGCACGCCATTCCCCGACATGCTCCTCCCGGCTCTGCCGTTTGCAGCCCCTTCAGAGAAAACACATGTCCATGTCTCACAAAACCCACCACGCACCTTGCCCCTGCAATACCACACTCACCCAGGCAAAACCCCCTCCAGCCTCGGAACACATTTAACAGAAGTGTTGTTTCAGGGGTCACAAATATGTTTTCCGATCTTTTCCTTTCCTCTCCAAACATCAAAGAAACCTAAAATACCACGGAAATGCGTATCATAAATCCCCCAGACACCGGAAGTTCTTGCTCCCTGTCACATTCGGCCCAACCAAAGCTGAGAACACGCCACTTCTTTGTGCAAACACACGAGAGAAAACCGTGACCAAAATGGGGGAAAACCTCAGATATGAGGTAACGGGTTTGAACGGGAAGAGGGAGATGGAGATGGGACAGCAGGAAGGAATTCTTCCCGGAGAGGGTGGGGAGCACTGGGACAGGTTGCCCAGAGAAGCTGCGGGTGCCCCATCCCTGGAAATGTCCAAGGCCAGGCTGGATGAGGCTTGGAGCAACCTGGGCTGGTGGAAGGTGTCCCTGCCCATGGCAGGGGGTGGGACTGGGGGGGCTTTAAGGTCGCTTCAACCCAAACCGTTCTGTGATTCTATGATATGATTCTTTTTCAGGGTCTTGTATCTTTTCTGTAAGCCATAAAATTCCCAGGATGTACTTCAAACCTTATTTTTATTTCCAGCATATTACAGTAATTCTAAAAGGCTGGTCTGCAGTCACAGCATAGAATCAGTACCACGAGTAACTCACGGCTATGTATAGATACACAAAAGGTGTTATAATCATCAATGCCTTCAACGTTAAATAATTGATCATGAAATCTTTAACCAGACAAAACCACAAAAAATTCTGCTTCAACCAGGACAGATTCTCCTTCTAAAGCAGATCAGGACTCCAGTGCTGGCTCATCCATTTATTCCACAGCCAACAGCGTGTTCGGAGTGTGGGTTGTCTGTATTTAAATACTGGAACAAATGTTCAAAGGGAAATACACCCCTGACACCCAAACGTCCTTCTGCCCCTGTTACCAGGAGCCCTCACCCCACAGCCCAGAGCCCCAGCTGCTGTGAACTGCCCCGGTTCCGTGATCTGGATCTCAGACACCCCTGAGGACAGCTCACTACCAGATCCTCTCACTTCCACGATGCCAACAGCCTGCTTGAAGTTGCCTGGCCGGATACCGGCCGTTCTCTCTGCCCGGATCACTGCCAACAGCCCTTTCCACAGAACGCTGGCTTTGCGCTGCAGACAGGTTTCTGAAAACCAACTGGGCAATACAAAGGCATCTGAAAGCAATTATAGTACTGCTGGGATAATTAAAACATGCCAGCTGTATGTCAGCTATTCAAATGTACAGCTGTTATAGGGGCAATGGAAACAATACAAAAGCTTCAGATGCTGTGACCCACAGTTTCTCAGGCTGCATTACAGTCTCGGCTGCCACCATCCCCAGCGAGGACAAAACACCAAAACAATAGTCTCCTTTTCCATGCTTTCTTGTAAACAATTGTTCCCTCATCACCTCCGAGCCACAAAAGTCTTAACATATTTCACAACGATGCCTCAGACAAGATTAAGCTGGTATCGAGTAAAAACCAGAAAAATATCGGTGGGTTCTGCTGAAACTGCTGCCAGCCGTGGTCCAGATGCCTCCTATGCTTGGTCAGCTCTGCCTTCTGTTGCCATGGCCGAGCTTCTCTGCTGTTCTTCTGGATCCCCTGGAAGAATGCTGGTGACCGTCTGGAGCAGTGACTCAATCTGCTCTTCTGTTAGTCTCTCCTCGCTTTCTTCTACCATCTGCAGGGCAAAACCAGTGGATTGTAACCATTAAACCCAAACTTCCTCCCTCAGTTCCAAACGGAAGGGCTCAACTAGTTGGGAAATACTAATTTCAACAGATGCAAGACATTGTCTGAGCTCAGCACAAAGGCATCTTACAAAGTAGAACTCTGACAGTATTTAAAGAAAGGAAGAAGAGCTCCATTGTTAAAGACAACTGGCACTCCGTAATGAGCCCCTGCTTTCCTCATGAGAAGAACAACTCACTCGGAACAGGCTTGCCCTCCCCGGTTTCTCCTAAAGCCTCTCTCAACCTACACTTCAGGATCTTGAGCCAGGCTTTTCATTTCGCTCATGCGCAGACCTACTTTCTCGAGTTATTTTCCTCAGTTTCTGTGCCTTCACATGAGAATTGAAACGAGAGAACCTGAGGGTGGTTACCTGAACCTTGGGGCCTTGCCCAGCACCTGCACAGCAGGTACTCCGGCCAGACAAGAAACCACGAAACCCTACAGTGGTGGACTCCATTCCGATTTACGCACACGGCGAGATTCAGGCGGTAAAAGCTCAGAGCAGCACAAAACAGGCTGTCACGAACCAAGAAGAAAATTCCGTAAGATCAGTTAGGGACCCGCTCCCACTGTGGAAATGCTCCTACAAGAACAGTGCCCGCGTTTATAGGCAACTGTTCAAAGGAAAAGCTTGTCAGAGGGCTGGAAAAGCAAGCCAAACGAACTCTTCAGACGCAGATGAAGGCAATTAGGATTGCGGGGTTTGAGATTTTCTTTTTTATACAAAGTCCTTCCAAATGTCCTTGAAGAGCAGCGATTCAGATTAATTATGGTTCCAAGTCACATCAGTTCTAGCTATCAAGTGTCAGCTGTCCAGAGGCATCTTGCCTCTAAAAAGCAGAGTGGAACATTCATTAACTGGGTTTTTTCTTCAGTGTCCTGTGAGCTCTCTTTGCACAACCTGATCACCTCTCACCAGCCGTCAGCCACAGACCCCTGACGCGAGGAGCGCGAGCTCGCCAGACCCCACTCCTGTAGCAGGAGGCAGACAGCCAATATCCATTTGCAAATGACTCGTGGGGACCGGCCGGACCAAAGGATGACATTCGCCGCGGAGAACTACTGTAGGACTCTGGCTTGGAAACCAGCCCCAACTCTCATTCCTGGTAGCTGAGACACTACACACTACAAGTTAAATGTACGAAGCATCTCTGAACTTGACCCTCTGTAAGCACCGGCTGCAGCCGGACCAGCCCACCGCCGAGCGTAAACACGCAGCAGAGCACGCTGGCGTGTGGACACTCTGCTGCCAACAGAGCAGCCACTCTCTAGAGTAAAGCACTACTCTACAGACGACCACAACAGTACTAGGCCTTGCAGAGGACTGTCAGCCCGTTTTCCAGCCCATTGCGGTGCTTCCAAGTGCTGTTTCACCGAACTGGAAAGGCGGCAGCCCCAGAGCAGCCGGGCCTGCACAAAGGAACAGCCCACACGCCTTGGGCGGGCAGTGTCGCCGAGGGCAGAACGACTGACCCCTCAGCAGCCAACGCATCCCACGCTCGTTGCCATCCCACTGCTTTCCGACCTTCCGAGAAATGACTCCCGGCCCAGTTTAGGTTTGATTTATGGGATCACATGACGTCCACCCCTCTTCCCATTTAAATTTTTTCCCTGCCCATAGATGTCCTCTCCTTTTCTTCCGAAAACACTTTCTCCTTTAGGTCCTTGCCTTCAGGCAGCCAGCATTAAACACAAGGATTTGATCACAACCTAAACAGACAACAGAGCACCATGTCTAGATCATCAGCTCTTCTCCACTCCTGCATTTCACACAGAACACACATGAGCCTCTAACCCCTGCCCTGACGTGCTCCTCGGTGCCGAACGCCCCAACTCCCAGCACTAACGGTCACGTCGATGTCACCTGTACCGGCTGAACGGCGCCCGCAAGACGGAAGCTGCAGAGGCGGTGGGGACGTCAGCAGCCGAGCTCTGGGAACTGCCCCGGCGCTTTAAGAAATCGCAGAAAACTGATGGGAGAGTCTGTCACGTTCCAGGGGCTCTGGTGCTGTAACTGGTGTCTCACTAAACTGCTGAGAAAAGCATCTTTCAAGAAGGATGCTTGGTACTGACTGAGGAGAGGGTGAAGTAGCTCCAAACTCCCTTCCGGTGGCAGATCCATAGTCTCTGCCAGAGGGAAGTGGCCATTCCTTCAGCTATGCAGTAAATTCCCCTGGGGCTCACCTCCCAGTGCCTCCGAGCCACACATCCCCACAGCCAGCTCACAGACCCGAGCTACCCCGGGACAAAAATCCCCATGTGGCAGGAGGGACAGCTGATGATCCAACCTGATGCTCCAGCACCACTCTGCTGGGACACTACTCCAGAGTTCAAAAGCGTAGGCTGTAAAAATCAAACTTTCTCACTCTTCAGGGAAACGGCCTGAGCAGCAACTGATGAAACGCAACCAATGAGGAGGCAGCAAAGCAGCACGCCCAAAGGAAAAATTCAAGAATATATTTTTGGGAAAATAAGATGGTTAAACCCTCTAACACGTTCCCTTTGCCATCCAACAACAAAAGCCGATCTGCCAGGCTGGCTATGAGGAGCACACGCCTCCAGGCAGTAAGCTGGAAATCCGGTTTCAAACAACATGGAATTACAATCTACTTTTCCATTTAGAGAGAAGAACGTGGAGCCACTAATCCATCAGAACATCAGATGATGCTTCATCTTCAAACCCATCTCAGTTCAGCACCGAGCGGGGCTGGGCCAGTGTCATGGTTAGAGCGGCATCCCGTGTTTTCCCCCTCTGTGAGTCGCTGAGCCAGGAACAGCGCAGGCCGAAGGTTCAAACAGGAGCTCAGGATTGCTGCCATGTGTGCAGCGTTCCACCCCGTGGGACACGAATTCGGATTTCACGCTCCTTTTGCTGCTATTGTTGTTTGAAAATACACCCCGGCATGCAGTCCGGAAAAGACAGATATGAACAGTTACAGCAGTTTATGCATGAGAACTTAGAAAAGATCTTAGATCGCAAGATCACAACATAAATTTGCTTTTTAGCTGAAATATAGTTTTTTGGTTAGCATCAACCAAAGAGAGGGAATTTTATAGGGGGAGAGTAAAACCCCAAAAAGCTGGGAAGGCAACAAAGCAACAAGCAGTAAATATAACTAACCTCTCCCATCAGCTGTGAAAAGCCTACCGGGCAAATGTGACTCCAACCCATGGACAGGCAGCGCGGAGTGAAAACGTGAGGTATCAAAACCACTCAAGCAAGTGAGAGTCAGAGACATGGCTCGTCCTGCATTTTGTTTAAGGCTTTTTAGAAAGTGAGACTGATCTGCCTACACTCTATGACGGGTCACGACTTTTCATCACCGGTTATTTCCGACTCAATTGCAGGAGCGACTCAAAGGTCTTGAGGGCAGGTTGAACCGAAGGAGTCAAGGCCCTTTTAGACCGGCTTCCCTTCTCTGTGGGTTGTGTCTCATCCCCCGACTGCAGCGAACTGACTTTGCCTGCGTGAAATCTGCGACAGGTAACCTTCTCCCTACCGACAAAGACAAAAATGCTGGCAGCCTCCACTGCTCTGCATCATTTTATACCCAAAGATGCTCAAAGACAGAGGTTTTCTGTGTTCAAAGATGCTGCTCTGCTACAGTCTCATTCCCTGACCCCACCAAAACCCAAAATGACCCAAGACAGAATGGGAACAGCAAAATTATTTCCCTGCTACAGCTCCTAGTCGCCGTACTTCCCTAACAGAAATGACCTGCAGTTTCCCAGCAGTTACTGAGCTCAAGACTCTGATGTGCTTTGATGGAACAGTTAATGTACAGTGATTTCGGGGAGGCTTAATTTAACACAGTATTACCAGCCCTGTAACACGTGCTTTGGAGGAACTTGCCCTGAGAATGACCGGGGTATCGCAATGGAACAGAAGGAACTGCATCCCCAGCGTTTCCATGACAATACACATTCAGACTAGTCCCCAGATGCAGGAACATTCCATTTTTCATACATTGCTTTTGGGCGTTAGAGAAGGGTTCCGCATCAATAATGGGCTGACACGGAACTCGCATCTCCCATCTGTCAGTCTGAGCACTGAGTTTTACCTAACTGTAGAGGTTCCAAGGTTTATAATGCCAAAGTAGAACACTCTACAGAAACTTGGCTTTAATAGAAAGGCCCAAATTCTTATACGCACCTCCTGGACTACAAATATGACACAGGGTACAAAAGTATTTTATGGCAAGGTAAGATAATGACGAACCAGGTGGGGTAACGAGGGAAGGAAGGAAAAGAGCCAAAACCAGAATCACCTGAAAGCAACAAAAGATTATTGTGTTTATGGAAGGAAATGGAAGACAGTGTATGGCCCACATGAGAATATAGTAAATCTGTGTCTAAGCTAACAGAGGTCAGACAGGCTCTCCAACACTTAGGAATAACTTCCGAAGCCTTAATGCTCTTGCTTGGGTTGGTGACTGACACTGATCTCTTCAGTCACAAAACACAGTGTTAATTCCCCAGCTAGAAGCATCCTTTTACGAGACGCCTTCAGCATGAGAGTGTTCTACTCCTTTGCCACAAACGAAAAACAGTCCTACTGGTACCTCTTTAGTCCTCTCATTTTTTGCAGCAAAATATGATCCTGTTACTGCATAGTTTGGTTTCAGGGTAAGATTATAAACAGATGTTCTTAATGTAAGAGATCTTTATTAAAAGAACACCCTTATTATCATGATCTCTATTACCAGAGGATTTTGTATTCTTAAGGAGGCTCTTCAGAGAATATAACCATCTATTTCTGGTTAGTGACAATCCCTCTTTACATCAGAATTAGCTTGACAGACTGACAATGGCTACTTTCCATCAGGAAGTCTGTTACATCCATTTCTCACTCTGCACCACAGCTCAGAATTCCAGCTCAGTCATTACTCGCTTCTTTTCAGCGCGTTTGGTTTTACCAGAACACAAAATGGTGCTGTCAAAACAGCCCTGCCATCACCGCTGTCAAGAAGTGAAGCAGCTGATTACAGAGCAGCAGCAAAAGGACTGAGGTTAACTGTATCCTTACAGGCAATACCGTAACTAACCTTTAGCAACGGCATCGGGCATTTCCAACCTGTGACACAGAGAGAGGTGGAGAGTGTGTCCGAGAGAAAGATGGGCCAGTCCCTAAGGAGGCCTCAGGGCGGGTTTGAGACTGTGAACGTGAAGATGTGCATAAAGGGGTACATTCAACCCCTGACCATAAGAAAGTAACTATTCCATTGACCTTCCAGGTTAGAGCTGCTTCATCTAAGCCTTGAACCTGCAGGAGCACTGTTACTCACCAGCTGAATTTCAACTGCCGTCACAGGCCTGTGGTTAAGCAACTGGAGCTTTTCTGCTCTGTTTAAAAGCAAAGCATAAAAAAATCTGCATTACTACACAATCTGAGAATCCCCCCAAATGACTGGTAAGATGCAAACACGTTCCTGACCGTTCCGTTTCGGGCTGGGTTGGCAGCGTGGTTTAATTGCCACAATAATTTGGGTATTTTAAACACACTACGTACTCGTGAGTTCAGACATCCTGCTGTTGCCATCTCCAGTCCAAGCTGGCAAGGCAGAGGACCTTAGATCATTACTGTGCAAGCATTAATTAACATGCACTGCTGCTTTGTTAAACACCGTACGGAAAGGCTGAACAGCTTGTCAAAGATCACAGATTCTTTTGCTGTGAACACACGACCACAAGGACAATTATCATACCCAAGAGGTTACAATCCATGAACCAAAGGCAGTAACTTGTTTATCCTTTTAGTCCACTGCAAACACCAAGTAAACAAAACCCCAAAACCCAACACCAGCCGGAAACCACTTGGTCATAGAATCATAGAATCAT